CCAGTGGGTGACCTCAGTAAAGGAGGATTTTAATAATCAAGTGGATAGGATGACTCGTTCTATGGACACCACTCAGCCTCTTTCCCCTGTCATTGCACAATGGGTCCATGAACAAAGTGGCCATGGTGGCAGGGATGGAGGTTACACACGGGCTCAGCAACACAGACTTCCGCTCACCAAGGCTGACCTAGCTACAGCCACTGCTGAGTGCCCAATTTGCCAGCAGCAGAGACCAATTCTGAGCCCTCGATATGCACCATTCCTCAAGGTGATCAGTCAACTACTTGGTGGCAGGTTGATTATACTGGACCTCTTCCATCATGGAAAGGGCAGCAGTTTGTACTCACTGGAATAGATACTTACTCTGGATATAGGTTTGTCTATCCTGCACACAATGCTTCTGCCAAGACTACCATCTGTGGACCCATGGAATGCCTTATCCACCATCATGGTATTCCACATAGCATTGCCTCTGAACAGGGCACTCACTTTACGGTTACAGAAGTACAGCAGTGGGCTCATGCTCATGGAATTCACTGGTCTTAACATATTCCCCATTATCCTGAAGCAGCTGGATTGATAGAACAGTGGAATGGCCTTTTGAAGTCACAATTACAATGCCAACTAGGTGACAATAGTTCGCAGGGCTGGGGCAAAGTTCTTCAGAAGGCTGTGTATGTTCTGAATCAACATCCTATATATGGTACTGTTTCTCCCATAGCCAGGATTCATGGGTCCAGGAATCAAGGGGTGAAAATGGAAGTGACACCACTCACCATCACCCCTAGCGATCCATTAGCAAAATTTTTGCTTCCTGTTCCCACAACATTATGTTCTGCTGGCCTAGAGGTCTTAGTTGCAGCAGGAGGAATGTTGCCACCACACAACAAAGATTGCCACCTGGACACTTTAGGCTCCTCCTACCTCTAAGTCAACAGGCTAAGAAGACAGTTAGTGTTGACTGGGGTGATTGACCCAGACTATCAAGACGAAATCAGTCTACTACTCCACAATGGAGGTAAGGAAGAATATGGTGGAATACAGGAGATCCCTTAGGGCATCTCTTAGTATTACCATGCCCTGTGATTAAGATCAATGGAACACTACAACAGCCCAATCTAGGCAGGACTACAAATGGCCCAGACCCTTCACTAATGAAACTTTGGGTCACTCCACGAGGTAAAAGACAACGACCTGTTGAGGTGCTTGCTGAAGGCAAAGAGAGTACAGACTGGATAGTAGAAGAAGGGAGTCATCAATACCAGCTACGATCACAGGACCAGTTGCAGAAACGAGGACTGTAATTGCATGAGTATTTCTTTCTTATTTTGTTAAGAACATGTTTGTGCATGTAGACACTTAACTCTGGATATAGGTTTGTCTATCCTGCATGCAATGCTTCTGCCAAGACTACCATCTGTGGACCCATGGGATGCCTTATCCACCGTCATGGTGGATGAAGAAACTACCTTCATTTCCTTTCTTTTTCCTTTATCATGTGACATAAGATTTATTGACATCATATTAGCATTTAAGTGTTAACTGTATGTAATAGCATTTGGGTTGGGGATTGGTGTGCTTCCAGTTGTAGGAAGGATACGTGTAATTATAACCTTATTATTTGTCTTTATTTGAAGATTATGTATGATCTCAGGAGATGTGTATGGGTTCCAGTTGACAAGAGGTGGACTTGTGATGGTTAATATTGAGTTTCAACCAGATTGGATTGAAGGATGCAAAGTATTGTTCCTGGGTGTGCCTGTGAGGGTGTTGCCAAGGAGATTAACATTTGAGTCAGTGGACTGGAAGAAGCAGACCTAGCCTCAACGTGGGTGGGCACCATCTAATCAGCTGTCAGCATGGTTAGGATAAAAGCAGGTGGAGGTGGCTCACACCTGTAATCCCAGCACTTTGGGAGGCCGAGGTGGGTGGATCACAAGGTCAGGAGATGGAGACCATCCTGGCCAATATGGTGAACCCCCGTTTCTACTAAAATATAAAAAAATTGGCTGGGCACGGTGGTGCATGCCTGTAATCTCAGCTACTTGGGAGGCTGAGGCAGGGGAATTGCTCGAACCTGGGAGGCGGAGGCGGAGGTTGCAGTGAGCTGAGATCGTGCCACTCCACTCCGGCCTGGCAACAGAGCAACACTCCATCTCAAAAAAAAAACCACAAAAAACAAACAAACAAACAAACAAACAAACAAAAAACGCAGGTGGAAGAGCATGGAAGGACGATTAGACTGGCTTAGTCTTTTGGCCTACATCTTTCTCCCATGCTGGATGCTTCCTGCCCTCAAACATCGAACTCCAAGTTCTTCAGCTTTTGGACTCTTGGACCTTCGACCACAGAATTAAGGCTGCACTGTCAGCTTCCCTACTTTTGAGGTTTTGGGACTCGGACTGGCTTCCTTGCTCCTCAGCTTGCAGATGGCCTCTTGTGGGACTTTACCTTGTGATTGTGTGAGGCAATATTCCTTAATAAACTCCCCTTTATATATACATCTATCCTATTAGTTCTGTCCCTCTGGAGAACCCTTACTAATACAGGCTGTTTCCCTTTCTTATGGTTTGTGTGTTCACTGGAGTAGCACTTTTAATTTCCTTCAATAACTTTTCCTTTGCATTCACGACTTGGCTAACTGGTGCTAGAGGCCTACCCTTCAATCCATGTCAGCTTTTGATGTGCCTTCCTCACTAAGCTCAATCATTTCTAGCTTTTGATTTAAAGTGAGAGATCTGTGGCTCTTCCTTTCACTTGGACACTAAAAGGCCATTGTTGGGTTATTAATTGGCCTCATTTCAATATTACTATGTCTCAGGGTGTAGAGAGATCCGAGGAGAGGGAGATGGGGGAATGGCCTGTCAGTGGAGCTGTCAGAACACACACATTAAGTTTGCCATCTTACATGGGTGCAATTCATGGCACCCCAAAACAATTACAACAGTAACATCAAAGATCATTGATCACAGATCACCATGATGGCTTTAATAACAAAGTTTGGATATTTTGAGAATTACCAGAATGTGACACAGAGACAAGAAGTGAGCACACACTATTGGAAAAATGGCATCAATAGACATGTTCAATGCAGGGTTGCCACAAACCTTCAATTTGTAAAACAACAAACAACAACAACAACAACAACAAAAACAGTATTTGCGAAGTGCAAAGTACGACAAAATTAGGTATACCTATAATTCTCATTTCTATAGAAGATACTACCATTTATAATAACGATGACAAAACTTGCAAGCTAGTATCCCTGCAGGGACCATGAGTCCAAATTCCAGCAAGAGAGAGGGTGGAACCTGTAAAAGTCTCAGTGTAAACTAGGCTTTTCTGTTAATGTAAATGTCCAAAATTAACACCAGAGTAATGATGCATGGGTGGAAGCTGAAAAAGGCTCAGAAATAAGACAGAGGGAAATGGATTGTAGAGCCCACACAATAAATTTAAAGAGGTGGTAAGATAACAATACCATAACCAAAGATGGACAATACTAGCACAGAGAGGTTGCATGAACTAAAAATAAAGAAAGAAAGAAAAGTGGACTTTTAATTCAGTGATGTGCTATGGAAAGATTTTCCTTATGGAGGACAAACACATCAATGGCAGGTATTAGTAGTGTATCAAAACCATAGTGATCTCTAAAAAAAATATTAATAGTAGTGAAAAAGTCTCTGTTAGAAAGCAACACGTTGGAAATTTAAGAGCTGATGTCATCTTTAAATATTTTTGACAAATTTGCAAGTGTTCATTAAATTTGTGTTTTATCCAACATTCTCTGAACTAAACTGATACACTGAATAAGGTTCATATGATTCCCTCTATATAAAAACTTTCCTATTTTCCCAAATTAAATCATATTTCTCTTTCTTTCTCTGTCCTACTAAAGATGGTTTCCACTGTCCTACTGGACTGAGTTATTTACTGAGTCTTGTCAGTTACTGCCAGTAAAATATTTTAATGACTTAAGACGTTGGTGGTCACATAGCTATCGTAAATTTTTCAGTCACATGGTTTCATTGGTGAGTTTACCTAGTTCCTAACAAAAATTAGGCATGGTGGCATAGGGTGCATGGGTACAGAGGTCCCAGCTACTTGGGAGACTGAGGCGGGGGGATCACCTGAGCCCAGGAGTTGGAGGCTATAGCGTGGTGTGATTATGCCTGTGAACAGTCAGTGCACTCCAGGCCTGGGCAATACAACAAGATCCCATTTCTTTTTTCTTTCTTTCTTTTTTTTTTTTTTGTTTGGGTTTTGTTTTTGTCACCCAGGCTGGAGTGCAGTGGCGTGATGTCGGCTCACTGCAAGCTCTGCCTCCCCGGTTCATGCCATTCTCTTGCCTCAGCCTCCTGAGTAGCTGGGACCACAGGCGCCCGCCACCACACCCGGCTAATTTTTTGTATTTTTAGTAGAGACAGGGTTTCACCGTGTTAGCCAGGATGGTCTTGATCTCCTGACCTCGTGATCCGCCCGCCTTGGCCTTCCAAAGTGCTGGGATTACAGGCGTGAGCCACCGCGCCTGGCCAGACCCCATTTCTTAAAAACACACACATATATATTTGCTTCATTAAAATACTGCTGATCATGGCTGACAAGTTATTATTGTCTCTCTATTAAAGAGAGAGACAACAAGGTGGGGGAGAATGTGAGGAGGAGCCCAAGTCCAATGCAATCACTGAAATCCAAATGCAACTGGAAAAAGAAGAATACCAGAAAATGGAATTCATGGACCTAAAGAGAAAATGCTGAATGCATCATCTTGGTAAATAAAAGCCCTGTTATGCACTGGGGTCCCTTAGCAAAGGATCTTTCACTCAGAAGATACACAGAGAGTCAAGCCAGGTAACTCCAAGGCCAACATGTCTCTCACTTACCTCTTCTGGCTGGCCATGCCTCACGGGGGAGCAGGAGCTGTAACACTGGATGGCACAAAGCCCTAGCAAACAGACTCATGACAGTCAGACTGTCTGGCAAAGGGGAGACATGCTTACTTGGATATCACAGGAGAAGATGGTCTCTTAGGAATGCCTCCAGAAAACTCGCATCTTCTCAGAGGGGACCCGAAGTTCACAACGGGAAGAGAAGTTGCTGTTCGCTGCCCCCGCTTCACCTTCTCCACCTGTAGGGGACACAGGATAGCTACAGTCCGTGACTGGCCCTACTTCCACAATTTATGAGACTAATACTCCAGATGGAACAATGCACAGCTTTCTTTCAGAGGGATCGATATGAAGCTATAATGCTTCACATAACAGGCATCTTTGCAGGGAGGCAGGATGAGGTCATCACATTTACATTATCCAGTTAAAAAAAAATCAGCCTCAAAATGCAAAGATTTCCTTCTCCTTGTTATCTTTCAAAGAGTTAACAACACAATCATATTATGGTCCTAGACATATAGGAACTGAAAAGAGTACAAAGATGTAAAATCACTACAAAAAATTACAAGTGGGTGAAAATGTGGTTATAACATCCAACACAGTGAGCTGTGGCCCCTGATGGTATACATGGTATAATGGGGTCTGCAACCCCATCTAGTCCTGTAGGTCTTCCCATTACCTCCCCTGGCAAAAGGGAACAGACATCAGTGCCTAGCCGGCAGAAAGTGATCCACAAAGGTTAGCTCCCTTCTCTCCCTATCACACTTTTCTGTAGCAAGTCCTCATTTGGCCCCCACACTCACATCCATCAATCCCTTTCAACACTAATCCACTGTATAGTAAAATCCAAGAGTCTAAAACATGCACTTCTAAGAGCCACAACAGATTTGAAAAGAAAATATGGCATTATAAAATGCAGTAGTTTTAAAATAAGTCCTGACATTATTTGATATTCCTCCCTTCAACAGGTGAGGCTTAATTCCTCTCCCCTTGAGCGTGGGTTGATCTTAGTGACTTAAAGGACACTGCAGCTTCCCGATAGCTTGCCTGGAGGGAAGCCAGCTGTGGCATCATTTGGATACTCAAGCAGCTTTATGGACAGGCCCATGCAGTGAGGAACTGAGGCCTCCTGCCAACAGCCATGAATGAGCCATCTCAGACGAGGCCCAGCTGTGCTTTCAGATGATGCAGCCCTGGCCAACATCTTGACCACACCTCATGAAAGACCTTGTACCCAGAACCACTAAGTCACTCTGAATTTCTGACCCAAAGAACCCATGAGTTAATAGATATTTGTTATTTTAAGCTGCCAAGGTTTGAGGTGATTTGTTAAGTAGCAATTGATAACTAACAAAAGTAGTATGGCATTGTGTAATTTCTAAATAAACAGACACAATTGGGGGTGCCTGCTCAACATTTAATTTACTGATAGTACCCGTATGCCATCAAAAATGTTTAAGCTTGGCATAGTAACACGTGCCTGTAGTCCCAGCTACTCAGGAGGTTGAGGCAGGAGAATTACTTGAGCCTAGGAATTCAAGGTCAGCCTGGGCAACATAAAAAGACCTCATCTCAAAAGAATATTTAATGATTACTTTTGTAGGTAAAAGTTGATGTAGATTCTCAGTTCTAGTTAGGTGCACAGGCAAGACTGACCCAGAATCAGATATCTGTAAAGAGGAAGACAGAGGATATTTAGAACATTCCTTCTGATTCCTGTCCTCTGGAGGGCAGGTTGTGACAAGGACATCATTAAGAATTTGCTCCAAGGTACTAAGACTTAAGATGATGCAAAAACTTAAGTGATTTTCAAAGGTTGGTTAAAATTTTGAACTAAATCTACCCTTTCCTGCTTTGAGCAGTCCCAGGAGATTGATGGAAACAGAGAGCCCAGGTCAAGCACAGAAGTAATAACACCGTCAGACAGAACACGGTTTGTAGGAGTGAGTGGGTGGGTGATTTTAAACCTACCAGAGAGGCCTCTCCTCCTGCAAGGGCTTCTTTCCCAACATCTCCTGCGCCAGATATAGATGTAGATGTAGCTTTCTTCTTCTCAATGTTTCGAGTGGGTGAAGACTTGTAAGAAGGGTTAAGAGGGCCAAGAGGAGCTAAACGAGGACAGACAGGGAATACTAGAAAGTTACAGTATAACAGCCAAAAGGACAGAGAGTACAGATGGAAAAAGTAGAGCAGAGGTGGGAAGAACACATTTCTGTTAAAATACGACCTAGGCAATCAATATCATACTTTTCTATTGTACACAGGATGGATCTTACCCTAAAAAGGCTCCCATACTCAGGAGTCAAGTTTATTCAAGTTTATTTCAGGGGTTAAAAGTCTATACTTTGGAGCCACAGAGACCTAGCACTGCCACCTAATAGCTGGATCACCTTGGGCAGGTTATTTAACCTCTCTAAACATTGATTTCCTTGTGCACAAAAGGGTTAACATAGCAGATCTGACTGCTGTGCTTGGAAAGGCCTGCTTACATGGGTAGCCCTTGGGTGGCATCTGGGAACTTAGATTTCAGGAAGGGTTCCCACCATTAACTGATGGATGTCTAAACTGTTTATACAAACAGTATGGTTTATGCTAAGCATCTGCTTTTCTTGTGGGAGTCTGGAATCTGGGTATGTGCCTGGGAGGGGATACCTACATATCTAGCCCCCAGTAAAAACCCTAGGCAATGAGTTTCTAGCCAACTTCCCAGCCTGGCAACATTTCATACATGTTGTCACAACGTGTTGGTAGAGGAATTAAGCTCATCCCGTGTGACTCCACTGGGAGAAGACTCTTGGAAATCTGCACCTGGTTACCTCTGGACTTAATCCCACGCACGTCCTCCATTTGCTAGTTTTTTCATGTTTCCTCCTACTATAATAAATCACAGCCATGGGTTGGGCATGGTGGCTCACCTGAGCTCAGGAGGTTGAGACTAGTCTGGGCAACATGGTGAAACCCCAGCTCTACAAAAAACACAAAATTAGCTTGGCATGGGGGCATACTCCTGTAGTCCCAGCTACTCTGCAGGCTGAGGCAGGAGGATCGCTTAAGCCTGGAAAGTTGAGGCTGCAGTGAGTCAAGATCACACCACTACATTCCAACCTGGGTGACAGAGAAAGACCCCATCTCAAAAAAAAAAAAAAAAAAAAAAAAAGCTAAGAAAGAAAAAATAAGTCAGTCATGAATGCAACTATGTTGATTCTTCCAAGTTCTCCTAGTCAATCATCAAACCTGGGGTGGTCTTGGGGAACTCTGGCACAACTATGTCAGAAATGGGAATTGCTGGAATGACCCTAATTCGCTGAAACATGGTAAAATCACATTTTGGGAAAAGGACAAAAGGGAGGAGAACAAACTTGTGATGCCTGGGTGGCTTTGTGGTTATCCATGGTATAAAACAGCAGCTGAGCTGTTGCTAGAGGTAAAAGTGACCTATGGAATTTAAAGATGACCAATGCAGCTCCAAGAGAGTTGGCTCAATGGATCCCCCCGGCTGCTTTTGGCTGTAGCACGCTAGCTGAAGTGAAGGAAAAAGCGCAGCCCAAGAGATGCCTTTGGTTTTTGTTTTCTCCTCCAAGTGAGAGTGAGACACAGCTTCCTTGCTTTTTGCCAGCAGTGGGTAGGTTGGAATTTAAACTCCAAATATTAGAATCAGAACAAGTCTCTGTAGTAGATTTTTCTGCTAGGACTTTTGTAATGGAGCCTCTGGAAAAAGGGAGCTATGAAAAGACAGGCAATTTCTAGAAAAAGACACGCTTTCTGAGTTTTAAAAATTGACTAGGGACCACTATAAATATAGAATGCCCTTCATGGGGCCCAAAACTATAAAAAGATCCTGGATGCTGCTAGACTGGGTCACATACAAGTGCCCACAAGACAGGGCTTGTTCTCTGATGGGACCATCCAGTCAAGCTGCTCATTGGCTCTATATTTCTGATGCGGAGTCTGATTATATTCCCAAGACATGACTCCTACAAAAGCTCCAAGTCACATCACAGGCGATGTGACTCTTTCAGCCATCCCTGACAGACTGAACTCCATCCCCTCTGGAGAAAGTGTCACTGCTGTTGATGTTTTGTGTTTAATTTTCTGGAGTAGCTGCAGTTTGTAATAGACTGAGATCCTGACTATATTTCCTCTACCTTTCTCTCACTACACGTGTCAGTAAAGCAATTTGCTAAATGCAGCTGTCACTGGAAAGGGATTGATCCTTTCTAGGCTGCTCACTGGATAAATGATCAAGATGAAAGGGCTCAGAGGTGATACAAACCTACTTTAAAATGTTTTGAAAATTTAGGATTTTAGCCTAATACCTGAACACAATATATCTTTCTGGTTAAGTTGGATTAAAAATGGGTTTCAACAAATGCTTTTGTCCTTTCTTTGAAAGGTCTGGGTGAGAGTAGGGGATGATTAAGAAAATGTAAAGTTTTGATTATTGAATAGGACATGGAGAAAAACAACATAATCCAACACCTGGGGTGATACAGGGATAGGGAAGGACACTTGTGCTCTGTTTTTCATAACTGCTCCTGGAAGCGCTCTCCTTCCTGAAGGAAAACTCCCTGTGCTGAAAGCACCTTGGGCTCAGACCCATGGCTGAGCCTAGATGGCACGTGACAGCATGACTATGAGTCGGCAGGGGTGGGGCCAGCTCCTGTATGTCCCACAGAACACCTCCAGATGCCGTCTGCACTTGCCAAGAAGATGAAGTAGGGTCACTGGTAGAACTGTTTGGGATTGATGGCCTCAGGCAGCCCCCATAAAACCTGGGACGGAGCTGAATTACCTGCACTGGACTGAGCACCCTGAGGTACCAGTCACCACAGTGGGAGGCCACGTTGGTGACTGCCTGACCAATGATAACCCTGCTAGTGTGCCCTAACATCTTCAACTCTTTGTTTCCAGGGAACCACATGAGCCCTTGGGGATCACAGTTCCTATGTGCGTGCCATGATTATCATGACACTGCGTCAGGCCTGGAAGGCATTCAGATCAGTTTCAACTTACTGGCCAGAGCTGTTCTGGGCCTGACTTGATGCCACGGGCCAGGTAAAAAGATTCATATAGCAATTGATGGAGGAGGTCACCTGGCTGTCCCAAACAGACCTTTCTAAGGCCAGGTGCAGTGGCTTAAGCCTGTAATCCCAGCACTTTGGGAGGCCGAGGTGGGAGGATCACTTGAGTCCCAGAGTTTGAGACCAACCTGGGCAACACAGGGAGACCCTATCTCTAAAAAAAAAAAAAAAATTAGCTAGGTGTGGTAGCACACACCTATAGTCCCAGCTACTCAGGAGACTTAGGTGGGATGATCACTTAAGCCCAGGAGGTTGAGGACGCGTTGAGCCATGATCATGCCACTGCACTCCAGCGTGGCTAAGAGCAACAGAGCAAGACCTTGTCTCCAAAATAAATAAATAAATAAATAAATAAATAGGAAAGAAAAGAAAGAAAGAGAAGAAAAAAGACAGACTTTCTGGTTAATGAGATTTGCTTTAACTGCTAAGTCCCAGAACCCCTAAAGGACATAACTGAGATCAATATTGCAGGATGGTCTCACCCCCTGCTGTATGGTGCCCCACTGAAAAATTTTCTGTAAAGACACCTTGGCCAAGGGTCAAGTGGGTGGACTGTGCAAAAATGAGCTAACATAGCAGGCCTGACTGCCGTCCCTATAAAAGCCTGCTTACAAGGTTAGCCTTTGACCGGCACCTGGGAACTTAGATTTTGGGACGACCCCCGCCTTTAACTGATGAGTGGCTCACTGGGCATAAACAAACAACATGTTGAATACCTGTTTTCCTTCTGGGAACCTGGAATTTGGGTATGTGCTGGGCAAGGGGTGCATGTGACCAGCCCCCTCTAAAAACCGGGGGCACCGAGTCTCTAAAAAGCTTCCCTGGTTGGCAACATTTCACACATGTTGTCATAACTCATTGCTGGGGTGAAAGGCATCCTGAGTGGCTCCACTGGAGAGGACTCTGGAAGCTTGTGCCTGGTCTTCCCAAGACTTTGTCCCACGTGCCTTTCCCCTTTGCTGACTTTGCTTGCATCCTTTCACTGGGGATCCTGTGAGTCTTCCTAGCAAATCACTGATCCTGGAGTTGCTATTAGGGAACCGCAACATATTCCTTATTCTCAAAATGGGGTACTTCCTACTTGCTAGGGTTTTTTGATATATAATTCATACACCATAAAATTCACCCTTTAAAAAGTGTACAGGACAAGCATGGTGGCTCATACCTGTAATCCTAGCACTTTGGGAGGCCGACGCAGATGGGTCACGCTTGAGCCCAAGAGTTTGAGACCAGCCTGAGCAACATAGTGAGACCCTGTCCCTACAAAGAATCCAAAAAATTAGCCAGGCATGGTGGTGTGTGCCTGTAGTCCCAGCTACTTGGGAAGCTGTGGTGAGAGGAGGGCTTGGAGTTCGAGGCTGCAGTGAGCTATGATCACATCACTGCATTCCACCCAGGGTAAAAGAGCAAGACCCTGTCTTTAAATACATATACATATACATATACATATACACATACACATATACACACAATTTGGAGGTTTTAGTACATTCACAAGGTTGTGGAACCATAACCACAGTCTACTTCTAAAACATTTTCAAGATTCCCCAAATAAACTCTTTGTCCGTTAAGCAGTCACTCCCCTTCCTTCCCTCCTCCAATCTCTGATAACCACCATCTATTGTCCATCTTCATGGATTTTCCTATTTCAGACATTTCACGTAAATAGAAGCGTACAATTTGTGGCCTTTTGCAACTGGTTTCTTTCACTTAGTATAATATTTTCAAGGTTCATCTATCTTGTGGTATGTATCTGTATTTTTTTTTTTTTTGAGATGGAGTCTCACTCTATCACCCAAGCTGGAGTACAGTGGTGCAATCTGGGCTCACTACAGTCTCCACTTCCTGGGCTCAAGTGATTCTCCTGTCTTAGCCTCCCAAGTAGCTGGGATTACAGGTGTGCACCACCACACCCACCTAATTTTTGTATTTTTAGTATTTTTAGTAGAGATGGGGTTTCACTATGTTGGCCATACTGGTCTCGAACTCCCCACCTCAAGTGAACCGCCCGCATCAGCCTCCCAAAGTGCTGGGATTACAGGCATGAGCCACCATGTCTGGCCTGTATTTCTTTTTATAGCTGAATAATATTCTACTTTATGGGTATATCACATTTTGTTTCCACTTTGTGGCTATTGTAAGTTTTTGTGCAAACATATGTTTTTAATTTCCTTGGCTGTATACCCAGAAGTGGAATTGCTGGGTCGTAAGGCAACTCCATGCTTAAGTTTTTGAGGAACTGTCAGACCATGTTCTACGGCAGCTGCACATTCCCACCAGCAGTGAGGGAAGAGTGTCTCCACACCTCCACCAACATGTGGTTATTTCCCCTTTTAAAAAAATTGTAGTCATCCTAGTGGGTGTAAAGTGGCAACCCACTATGGTTTTGATTTGCATTTCCCTAATGATTAATGATGTTGAGCATCTTATGAACTTATTAACTATCTGTACAACTTCTTTGCAGAAACAGTATAACTGTTTGGAAGCAGCTACAACTAGGCAGAAGTTTTATGTCATTTATGTATCATCACACTGAGTACACTATCTTGAGAATAGAGAGTAGACCTGACCTTAGGTGGTCACAGTGCTGCTCATCTGGAAACAAAGAGAATCCCAGCCCCCACGAATCCTGACATGATGACTTGATCTGCTTTGATAAAGGCAGAGCTTTGATGGTCTGGTCCAGTGTTTCTCAGACTTCAATGTGCAGGTTGGGTGGGGCCTTCCAGCCAAGCTCCTAGATGCTGCTGCCGTTGCTGGTCAATGGATCACTTTTTCAGTAGTGAAGCTCTAAACTTCTGTTGAGCTTTTACTCTGTGCTAATCATTGTGCTATCTCATTTGCGTGCACACTCTCATTTAATCCTCACAATAATTTTAAATAGCTCCATCTTATAGACGAGAAAACTGAGGCTTAAAGAAGTTAATTAACTTACCCCCAATGGTGAGAGCTAGTGAATGGCAGAGCTGGCTATGGGACTCCCCAGACTGGTCTACAGGCTATTTTGCCACATCATCTCTGAAGTCTACTAACCTGCAGAGTTCATCAAGTGGGTTTCTCTTCCCCTAAAGTACATGCTCTCACTCATAAAATAATTTACTCACCTCTGTGACACTCAAAAGAAACATAAAACAGTAAAACACTGGTAGAAGACGTTATTAACCAATGAAGACATTTCACAAAGCCAGCAAATAGGAAGCAAAATCCAAAAATTCAGGAGTAAATCCTAGGCTGACCAAAACCTCTTTGGGCATTTTCCCTGGTGTTACCAGCTTAGCCTCTTTTACCTGAATCACTGGCCTGCCCAGAGAGCATGACTGAAGCTCTGCTTCTGGCTAAAGAAGACTGTGTGGGTGTCAACAGTCGCGAAACAAGAATGGCTTCCATTGGACTAAGGTGCATGCGATGAGCTGAGGGATGGAATCAAATGAAAATTTTAAAAAGCAAAATTAAAACAAAACAAAATAAAACGTTTAAATAACACAATGCATGGTGCAAATTAACTTTTGGGTGGCAGAACATGGAAAATAAAAATATTTGAACAAAGGATGGATTTGGAATTTGTCATAGTAAAATAAAACAAATAATGTGTCCTTTAGAGTTTGGGAAAGTGCATTAATTGTCACGAGGTACCAGAATCCATTCAATATGCTATTGCAGTACAGTGACCTGTATCACTCAGAGAATTAGCCCACCTCCCAGATGTAATATGGACTCAGGAAATCATTTATGGCCAGGCATGGTGGCTCATGCTTGTTATCCCAACACTTTGGGAGGTCAAGGCAGTCGGGTCACTTGAACTCAAGAATTTGAGACCAGCCCGGGCAACATGGTGAAACCTCGTCTCTACAAAAAATACAAAAAAATTAGCTGGGCATGGTGATGTGCACCTGTAGTCCCAGCTACTTGAGGCTGAAGTGAGAGGATGGCTTGAGCCCAGGAGGCAGAGTTTGCAGTGAGCCAAGATTGTATCACTGAACTCCAGCCTGTGCAACAGAGAGCTTGTCTCAAAAAAAAAAAAAAAAAAAAAAAAAAAAAAAAAAAAAAAAAATTCCTTTACTCCAAGTAGAAAAAAATTATGCCTATAAAACACTTGTTTTAGGTCCTGTGCTAAGAAACATTTCATAACACACTGATTTTTAAATAAAATGTCATCCTGTAATAGTATAAAAATATATATTTTCATACTTTTTACATGTCAATAAGGGTAAAAATTAAGTGAGAGGCACAAAAATACAAACAGCCAACTGATTATCAGCTTTAATGAAAGACAGTAGTATTCATAATCTAGAAGTCAATGACCAAAATATTTGTATCAGTTTAGAATGTATTATATATGGCAATGAATTAACTTTTCCCTCACTCTGTATTCGGCTCTTCATCACTTCCAGGTTCCTGGTGCTTACCATGAACTGCATCACAGATCAGTAGCGTTATGAACCTTATAGGGTCTCTGACACACATAACATGCCTCTGGGATAGAGGCACAAGGTCAGTGTCAGTGGAAACAACCAGGAAGGCACACCAGCCTCTGCCAAGTCGCAACCAGCCTCTTGCTCTGCCCTTGGTGATAACTTGTGCTAAACACTCCACTGGCACCTGATACTTCTTCAGTGTTGCTTTAGAATAAACATTTAGTGCATGGAGAGCTTCCCTTATTTCCTTAACCTATATACTCTGAAAGGTATAAACAGACTTTCAGTGACTTATCTGAGCCTTTGTGAGAATGCAGACCATGTTAAATCTCCTCAGGTTCTGGAACTGGCACACGTCCCATACACATCATCTCCCAACTCAAAACAGAGTGCCACCCATTCTTTTCCTCTTTTAGAGGCCTCATTAGTTCTGTGCTTCTCTTTTCATCTACAAAATGGGCAGGCCTATAAACCACAGATGATGGCAGAACCCCATTTTTTCACATATCTAAGCCTCCTATGTAACTATAACTTATCAATTCTGCTCTTTCTGGTTAATCAACTGTATTCCATCATTGACCAGGCAGTTACTTTAATGGTCACATCTGCCCACTGGTTAATTAATTCCTGGGCGGGCTAACTCCTACATGCAATGTGGAAAACAGAACAGTTTCTTTCAGACTGGGAGGCTGCATTAATTCTTGCCTCTATTCAACAACGACCTGGCTCTAAAGAGCCATGCCACGTTCCAAAGTCCCATCGACAAGGCCCTAGGGCTCCCACATTCAGACCACAAGACTAGGACAATGATGGTATCTGCAGAAGGCTCAAGAGGAGGCTCTCACAAAGACCAAAGTTAAGATGCTCACACCAGAAAAGAAACAAACTGGAGAGACCAAGTCTACACATTCACTTGCCTCGGTCTGGGGAATAGGATATTGCCACGGTGGATGAAGACAGGCGTTTACTCATGGGAGGCTCCGTCGGCTTTGGCAAATTCATAGTTGATGTTGAAAGTTTGTCACATGCTGCAGAGAAATGCATTAAAGACATTGGTATTCATCACACTACTGTAGAACCGAGAAACACATATCCCGTAGTGTCCTTCCTGTCCTCATCCACACACCTCCTAAATGCTGTGGCACAGCATGCTCTGCTTTCATCATCCTGGCATCTCATTATCCTAATCTGGAAATGCCCAGGCTACAGCAGCCCTTGGTCTGCAGCAAGATCTCTGCAATTTCTTCACTGTGTTGTCATCTTCAATTTCAAATGTTCAACCTTACTCAACTGTTCAACTAAAGCCATGTTAATCCCACCAACAAATCATTTTCTTTTGTCTAGGAATTTTTGAGCATACTCACATCACACAAAAACAAAACCAACTTGGACCCAGAGACAAATCACCAACCACTGGAAAACGCCTTATGGTCTGACTGTCACTGCTTGCTGAAACTGATTCTTTTATGAAGGTTATCTATAGCTCAGGTTGGAGAGAGAGGAAATCCGTCCTCTCGGAGTTGTATTTAAAGCAGAACAGCCTCTTTAGCAGTTGGTTTTCCTTTTCTTACTTAGTAAGAGACAGATCAAAATGGCCCTTTCACAAATGCTTTAACTGTTTGAGGTTAGGATTTTAACAGGCGACCTTGAGTTTGGTGTTCTCAAGGTCGTTATTTCAGTCATTATTTCAGACTGGTCTCTAAATTAAACCATTATAGCAAACAAAGAGATGCTGACAGTGCCCTGTCAAGCTATGTTAAAGCCTGAGGCCAAAAGAAAAATGTGTGCTCTTGGTTGTAGAAAAAGCAAAGTCATCAATAATATTTTCAAAATCTACTCCTCTGCTCATCTTGTTTTCACATGAGAACTGCTATGAGAACTGCCATGTTCTATAATTTCTGCTGACCAAATGACAATCTTAAATAATTTTTTCTTCTTTTTTTTTTTTTTTTTTTTGAGATGGAGTCTCACTCTGTCTCCCAGCCTACAGTGCAGTGGCACGATCTCAGCTCACTGCAACCTCCGCCTCCCGGGTTCAAGTGATTCTCCTGCCTCAGCCTCCTGAGTAGCTGGGACTACAGGCACTCGCCACCATGCCCAGCTAATTTTTGTATTGTTAGTAGAGACGGTATTTCACCATGTTGGCCAGGATGGTCTTGATCTCTTGACCTTGTGATCGGCCTCAGCCTCCCAAAGTGCTGGGATTACAGGCGTGAGTCACTGCACCTGGCCCCAAAATTTTTAATTAACTAAAGCTGAAGTAAAAGTATAATAAATTTGATTTGCATAGAAATAAAGTATTTAAAGTTGAAATGTGATTTTTAATACTCCTACTTTTCCATTTTTCCATATTTTAAACTACTTTAACGTTTTGAAAAAATTAAACATTAGAAATTACATAAAATCATGTATATAGAGGTGCACATTTTCCCTTTTGCTTCAGGCTCTGATATGCTCAGTATGGCACTGGCCTTTAGAGATGTGTTGTTTATTATGGATTGTTTTGCATTAATTTTGATTTTAAAAATATCACATTAAGATATTATTTTATCTTTATTACTGAGATTTTTGGCACTCCCTTAAACTGTGTGCTCTAGTCAAGTACTATACTCATTTCACCCTGGCCCGGGCCCTGGGTGGTGATTCCCAGTGGGTGATTACTCCATCTCTCTGCAACTTTCTTTTCTTTTTAAGACGGAGTCTTGCTCCATCACCCAGGCTGGAGTGCACTGGCACGATCTCACTGCAACCTCTGCCTCCCGGGTTCAAGCAATTCTCTTGCCTCAGCCTCCTGAGTAGCTGGGGCTACAGGCAATCGCTACCACACTTGACTAATTTTTGTATTTTTAGTAGAGGCGGGGTTTCACCATGTTGGCCAGGTGAACTCCTGATCTCAACTGATCTGCCTGCCTCGGCCTCCCAAAGTGCTGGGATTACAGGCACGAGCCACCACGCCTGGCCCTCCTGCACCTTTCTTAGGGGGAATGCCAGTGCCCATGCTAGAGGTAACTCTGCTTGTGCAGCAAAATTGCTGTTACAAAGCACCCCCAGTAAGGATTATTAATTGTCAAAGGAATGTCAGAAACCAAGGATATTGATTCCTGCTGCTAATATGACCTTCTGCATTGCTGGTAAATACTGCATCCCTTTTACATCTTTTTTTTTTTTTTTTTTTTTGCCAGTTACAGATGGATTGAATTTCTAAAGTCATTATTAAATGGGAACAAAGTTTGGCTAGTTCTGTCCTTGATCTAGACCACAGGAGTTTCCCAGGCCTGTATATAAAACAGCCTATTAGACAGAGAGATAAAATCAAGCACAAAGCCAAATTATCTAATTATTTGGATTCCCAGTGTTAGCACTGATAAACTCCCTACCACTCCCTCTCAAACACCTCTCCAGGAATCTATCACTTTAACACTAAGCCCAAGTTTTCCATTCAGAACTCTGGGTGAATACAGGTTTTGGTAACCAGAAGTAATCAGAACGCCCTACTACTTAATGTCTACAACAGATGATGAAGAGATTGTTAAAAGATCTGAATGTGCAAAAATCCAACACTGACAAGATTTTCAAGGCAGACATTAGTGAGTTGAGGATAAAATGTCTCCAGGGCACTAAGATGTAAGGCATGCACCACTCTATAATGACAGAGGAACAAAACAATATGGGTATGTCATTCACGTTGCTAGAAAAAAAAAAAAAATTGTAACAGGCCAGACTAAGAAATCAGTTGTAAAAGTGCTTGACACAGACGTGGTGATGGAGGAGGGTGATCAGAACAGTTATCACAAAATGCTATGGCACAGTGATGCTCGGATATACCGTTGGTGGACTCGGCAGCTGCGGCAGTGGTCCCTGCATCCGGAGGGAGGGTGCTGGCTGCTAAACCTAGAGGAGGGGGTAGGGTATTTTCTGATTCACCTACACAGCAAAAAATCAGAGCAAAGAGAGGTAAAAGAAAAAAGTCCCAATTTCTTGTTGCTTCTTAGTTTCTAATTAGGAAATTAGAAAAAGTAACTGAAATGCGTTGTTGGCTTTTCAAAAAAGAAAAAATAAAGTATATTTACTGCCCAAAGGTTAAAAGCACAATACAGCAAAGTCAAGAACTGTCCTGTAAACTCAAATGCATTTGCTCTCAGATAGAGCTAGTACACACCTCCCGTATAATAGAATGCTAAGATCGCTGAAATGTAGTGAGACACTGAAAAGAAGGAAAAGCCATCCAGAGACTAGTAACAATCCATACATTAAATTATAGATTTGAAAATTTAAAGATGAGTATGAACTGGTAATGAAATAAGTCACCTTCAAACCAAGTCGAAAAAGCAACAAAAATTTAAAATGAAGCAGGAAATAGTCCAGCCCTTTTTGGAGGGTAACTGCCACTCTGCTTTTCCTGATCACATCTGGAACAGTAACAGAGTCTCCTGCCGTTTCCCTCCCCTGAAGTCAGACCAGCCCTGGGCTTGCCAGCTGGGCCCAGCTCACTGGGCTCTGCGTTCAAAGTCTTTTCTTTTGCTCTCCCTCAAAGCCCAGTTTTTGTGTCAACTGCTGTTTGCTATCAAGAAGAATGCATAGATCCTCTTCGTAACAAACGCACGCATAGGAATCTTGGCAGTTTTAAACATCACATCTGAACGTGGTGCCTCTGAAAAGCTGTACAAAGCATCCCCCAGATCCTGGAGACACCCAGTGGTGCCCATGATCCCCTGCCTGCTCCATTATTTCCCACCCGGGACCTGAAATACAGGGGCAACCCTACACTCACCATCATGTCCTCCAGGTCCAATGGCCAGTGGTGCTCCCCACGAATACTTCTTTTTCAGCTCCAGCTGCTGTGTGCGCTCCAGGGACCGGCGCATCATCGCCTCCAGCCGTTCCTACACAGTTCATGTAACGCGAGTGTTAACAAGATTAACTAGCTGGCCCCACCACACTGCCTGCTGCCTCAGTGCATGGTGTGAGTCACCAAATGGGGCTTTCTGTGCTCAGCATCCAAAATCCAGGCATACGTGCTCTCTCTGCCACACCAGCGTGTTCTGGGTAGGTGAAGAGTAAACAATGCGGCTAGGCTAGCACTGGTTCTCAACCCGAACACTGCGCGTCCTGTCCCCGCCCCTCTCCGGGGAGAAGCTGCCCTAGGAATAATGCCCAATAAGCATTAACTCCTTGAGGCCTATCTCAAGCCACTTTGCCCTATCCAGGAGGGCTGGAATTCTGCTCCAGAACCAAGATCATCCTTTCTAGTTAAAAGTATAAAACATTTTGCTTTGAGAAAATTTTAATGCAAATATAATTTGAGTTTTTGGGGTGATACATGACACTGAGATCTATTTTGCAAAGCTGCATTTTCATCTTAGAACTTCTTAAAGGGGAACCAACTGTTTTACATAGTGTGACAATTTTCTGCTATATAGTAATCTGGGATAATATTGCATATTCCATAATTTTCAAGAGGCAAGAGTAAAGAACCTTCTGGCCACAAAATAAAGCATCCATGCATTCACAGTTACGTATGTAGAGGAGGCAGGGAGGCAGAACCCAATAATTTTTAACCGGAAGAGAAAAACAACCATTAGGCTTTGGCTTCTCTTGTAACAGTATTTATCAAAAACACTCTCCTGTATTACCCAAATTGTTACTTTCATAAAGTTGGCCTTGGTGCTGCAGTGAAGGTGCTCTAATTCTGCACTCCCCACCACCTTCATGATATTGCAAATACCAACTCCTCTCCCTATCTCCACTGGAGAAAGCCTGAGCTAGCAGTTATAATGACACCCTTTTGCCCTCATAAAGCCCAACCCTGAGATGCTCCAGGAATTGGGTTAATTGTAGCCTGACTCCAAAACAAAAAGATACAATTGTCTCATGGCTTAAAGAAACACACACAGAAGCAAAATTAAGTTAGGACAGCATCAACTGAGTAACCATGACTTAAAGATGAGGAAAAGGCTCCTTTATGTCACACTTACTAGAAACATATAAAGGTCATTTAATAGGTATCTGGATTTATCCCTTCTGTTTATACCAGAGGGATGAGATGAGGATCTGGCTTCTTCACATCTCAGCCTCCTCTGCATAATTTTTCTCTGAATAGCACTTTGCTAAGAGACTGCCTCTCCAGGGACCTGTGAGCAGAAAGGGGGATTTTTACCTCCTGTAAGTCTTAGATTTGTATTAGCTATTAACTGTGCTCTTGTTTTTGGCCTGAGACTCTACAATCATGAGTATGCATGCCTTGGCAGAGTCCAGTCCTCACGACCCTGGCCCATTAAATGATGATGGCCAACTCTGACAGTCTGCCTGATAAAAGCTGGGGCTTGGAGGGAAGAGAACTCTGCCATGTGATGCCTGAAGTACAGCCACTCGAGAATGGGGCTGAATAGTATTTCATTATATGGTTTTAACATAAAGTGTTTAACCAATGACCTAACTGAAGTGTTGAAACCTTTCATCCTAGAGTGAATTAAGTACTGGGTGGGTTACGGTAGATTTCCTACATGCCAGAAGGATCTCAAAATGTGGTCCCTTGTCTACTAGAGGACCGATGAGAACAAAGAACAGTGAGCTTCACTGAACCAGCCTGACCACTGATCAGCTATCTGGGAGGCATCGTTGTAAGGGAATGAGTGCTCACTGAAAGCCAGACCTGCCCCTGGACTTTTCAGTGGCCTCTAGAAAAACTACCCCTGCCATCCATCCCCAGCCGACTGAGCTGCTCCAAATCCCACCACTGGAGATTCATTCCTTCAGACCTTGAGGTAGCTGATGAAAACACAGCTGTCCCTGAGAGAAAAACACACTCACTTTGTATCACCCACTTTTGGAGAGCTGATGAGAAATAGATGATAAGTAAGTTCTTAGAGAAGAGGATTTATGGAACCCCAAAAAGTCAGAATGGGGTGATTCACACATACAGAAAACAAAAGTTGTCCAGTGCACAAGTCTTATTTAATGTTAGTCCTGTATAGGTCAGTATTGCCTCGTGTCTGTGTGTATCTTTTTGTTCCTTCATATGGGACTCCATATCCCAGATATGGAGTCAGGAGGTAAGGATTCAAATCCTACCTCTGCCTGCCGCTTTTTATCCCTGTGAACTTGAGCTAATCATTTCAGTCCTGGGCTTCAGTTTCCTTGCCTGTAAAATGGGGATGAGCTTACCTACATCACCAGGTCACTCTAAGTCTATGGGATAATGACTAGTATGCAGTAAATCGTTAAAAAAGCTAAGTGAATCTGAATTTAAGAGGAAGATTCTTATCAGGACCATTTACAGCAACAGTTCTCAAATCTGAGAGATCAGGTAGGAGAATCCCCTGGAGAAATTGTTAAAACCCTGGGGTTTATCCCCAGAGTTTCTGAGTCAATAGGTCTGGGGTGGAGTCTGCTGAGAATCTGCATTTCTAACAAGTTCCCAGGTGCTGCTGGTCATGGGACGCCCAAGCAAGAGCCACTGGTTAGAGGAAAGGCTGAGCATGAGAAAGTGAGCATGAGAAAGTTCCATCACATTAGAAAAACAGTATAAATAAATATCAGAACTGCATACTGCAATTCCTGCCAAGTTCTGGTTCTCCTGAGTATCATCTGATGATCAACAGAGGATGGGGAAAGGGCAAGGCAAATCCTTGTCCCTAGAATCTCCTCTATTAGGTAGGGCTTAGTGGAAGGAAAGACGGAAAGAAGGAAGGGAGGGAAGGAAGGGAAGGGAAGGGGAAGGGAAGGGAAGGGAAGGGGAAGGGAAGGGGAAGGGGAAGGGGAAGGGGGAGAGGAAGGGGAAGGGAAAGGGGAGAGGAGATAGGAAGGAAGGAAGGAAGCCAGCCAGCCTCACACTTGATGTCTTCAGCTCTGGCTTTAGATCTGTCTGGATGAATTTGGAGAATCACGACCAAGGTGACCCCCCTGAACTGGCTGAACAGTATTAAAGGTCGCCAGCAGGGCACATTCCAGACACTGTTACTCAGACAGCAGTCTCTGGCAGGAATGAGTGGTAGGGGTGGCTGGGCCTCTTCAACTGCCATTATATGCTTTTTTGTTTGTTTGAGATGGAGTCTTGCTTTGTCACCCAGGCTGGAGTGCAGTGGTGCGATCTCTGCTAACTGCAAGCTCCACCTTCTGGGTCAAGTGATTCTCTCACCGCAGCCTCCTAAGTAGCTAGGATTACAGGCGAGCACCACCATGCCTGTGTAATTTTTTTATTTTTAGCAGAGATGGGGTTTCACCATGTTGGCCAGGCTGGTCTTGAACTCCTGATCTCAGGTGATCCACCTGCCTCGGCTTCCCAAAGTGCTGGGATTACAGGCATAAGCCACCGTGCCCGGCCCATTACATGTGTTCTGGGGATGACACTGCAGGGACACACCCCAAGTGGTCCTCAGCAGGGATGTGTGAAGACAGACAGACGAGAGAGAGAGATACAGAGAGAGACAGACAGAGACAAAGAAAGAAAGAAAAGAAAAGAAAAGAAAAGAAAAGACAGAAAGAAAGAAAGAGAGAGAGAAAGAAAGAGGCCTTTCTCTTTTCTGTTTAGCATAAGGAACATGAAGATGGCTTTTCCAAATCCAATTTTCCAGGGCCACTGGTCAGGAAGATATACTGCCCTGGGAATGGGTGGGCATACTGTGTTGTCAGCCCAAACACAGATGACAGGAACTTGTTCTGGTAGCTCGGTTCCTGGGAGTTGTGTGGCACGTGAAGGTTCTAAGAACTCATCTTACGAGTAGGTGGCCTCCAGCAAGATAATGAGCTTAAGGTCAGGGTGTCAAGTGGACAGTAGAACCACCCCATCCCCTCCCTGGGACAGGCCTGACTAGTTTCTACCTCTGCCAACTCTGGAGACCTCTGAGAGTCAGGCCATTGGTGGTACCCACTTCTGCCCTGGCATAGACATGAGGGGTTATGAAGAGTGACATCACAGCAACCACAGAGATACAGAGCCAGGACAGGGCTGGGATGGGGTCAACAGGCCTCTCATGAGCTTCTAAGTATCAGACCCAGAGAGGCAGGATTTGGTGGGCAACACAAACACTTTCCAACCAGCTAGAGACCCAATGTAACTAACGAGCCAGCTTATGTATGGCAAGTCCCTAAGCTACACCTGGGTCCCCTGGGAACCTGAGGGCAGGAGCAGGTGGCAGAGGGAGGCTGCTGTTTCCTTGGGTTGCTACACAACCACAGGGGGCCCAGCCCTCAGCCCTGCCCTGTTGTGCCTAGGGAGAAGAGGGAACCAAGCTCAGCTTGGGCTGACAAGGGTCAATCGGGCAGCCTCCTGCCTCCCTCCACCACATTCGGGGTGCAAGGAAGCACACAAATAGAAAATTACCCAGAAGGGAAACCACAAAAGATTCAGCTGCATCATATGGCATAAAACTCTCTCACCTCCAAGAAGGGGGAGCTGGACTACTTAATTTAACATGCCTCTAGTACTAATGTTCTGTAGAGAAAAATTATAGACAGAAATTGCCTCAAAAGCAGCCCCAGTGACACTGCATATGTCAGAGCACGGGAAGTATCTTATGTGACTTCACAGTACCCCTTCCTTGAAGCAGCAGTGACAAGCTTTCAAAATGGAGACATCATGGAGGAAGAGGACAAGCTCTAAGTCATCAAGGAATGGAGGATAGGAAGAAAATGGGTGAGTCCAGCAACTCTTGACAAACACACAAGGGAGGAAAGGAGAAATCTGTCCCAAGTTACCAAAACAGCCTATTATATACACTGTGGCTTTTTCCCATCTACTGACTCTGTTTCATAAGCTTTTGTGAGTAGCTCCCTCTTGACCTTGCTTTAGCTAGGCTCAGCTGAAGTAACTAAACAGAATGTAACATTCCTGAGTGATTACTCTGTGCTAGGTGCTTTGCTGGCACTTTTACAAAAGTCACCTCTTTTAATTCCTGTAACTACCTCTGTTTTGGGCTAAGGAGACAGAGTTAGAGGGGCATGTGACTTGCCCCTGGCCACCAGTTGCTCAGTGGTAGAGCTGGCATTTGAGCTGACATTTGAACTGGGAGTAGATGAAGGCACAGCAATCAGACTGCAGCCAGTAACGGTGAACCATAGCTAAGACACTGGCTTAGACCTCATTTCCTAGAGGAGGAAAGAAATCACCACGAAAGGGTGCTTCTTGGGCAAGATGGATCTGATTCTGTGTGTTTTCGTATGTGTTCTTTTAAAAAAAAAAACAAAAAAACGAAGGGGTAAATATATATAGTGATAAACAACCGTTCAGAGATTTTAAAAAATACTAAATTTGTACAAACATCTTTATATACTATAGTGTTGGAGATTACCAAACCTCTATATTGTTCATACTAAAAGATGAATCATTATACCTTATGAATAAAAAATTATCATCAACTGACATAAGGTTTTTATTACATCCTAAAAATATAATCGTGAAGAAAATCTATAATCCAAATATGCTTTCTAAATATATTTTCAAAATTTAGTAATAAAGAACTCTGTAGGGGTAATTATGTGCCATCTCTTTTTTAAAAGGTAACTGGAAAGAGCAATTAAAGTAAAGAACTACATTAAAATTTAAATATACTAGCATCTTGGTATTTGAGGGTAGACTAATTTGCCAGTAGCAACTGACAGGATCACAATGTTCTCAACCTCACAGCTCTTGTTCTGGCCTTGTGTCTGCCCTGGAGGCATGAACTCCCATCTGTAACCCTCAGATTCACACCACCCAGCCGCTATCCACAATCTCCTCTGAGTCTTTTTTTATTCCCCCATCTACTAGACCACCAGGGACCCTTTGAGTCTTAGAATCAGAAAAGGTTATGACTAGAAGAGGCATTGGAGACTGCCAAATCCAACCCTCTCACTTCACAGACACACAAATCAAGGCCCAGAGAAGCCAACCAGTTTGCCCAAGATCACACAGCAAATTAACACCTGAGTTGAATGGGTAAGTCTCTGTGGTTCTATGTTGGTGCTGCTTCCAGTTTCATGTCATGCTGCTGAAAGAAGGCATGGGAGCCACCAAGGAGAAGGTGCACGGCAGGTCTCTTTCCTACCCCAGAGCTGGGCAGGATGCCCAGGCACTCTGAGCACCCTGCTGAGGGGGCTGGGAGGTGGCGGAGGGTGCACCTGGGCCTTACCTCCTCCTCCCGGAGCTTCTGTTTCCTTTTCTCTTCCACAGCAGCCCTCTTCTGGTCCTCCCGCTGCCGCTGCTCTTCCAGTTTTCGCCATCGCTCCTCCATTTGCTTTTCGTACTGGAGCTTGGCTCTTTTCTGTTTCTCCAGGATCTGTTGCTCCCGAGCAGCTGGGGAAGGAAAGCAGAAGAGAGGTGTCATTACCAGAGTACCCCATGCAGTTTGGATTAAGACCAAAAACATGGAAGCAAGAGCAGAGCCCTAAAAAGAGCCTGGTAGGATCCTAGGATGCACTGATTGAGATAAAGGGTCCTGGCACCTCCGCCACTAGCTGGGTAACCCTAAGCATGTTAGCTAAATCATACCTCTGCCTCGGTTTCCTCCTCTACAATGTGGGGACAGTCATGTTTGCCACATCACAGTGTTGTGAAGATCGAACAAGATGATGACCGTGAAGTACACAGTAACTGCCTCCCGACGTGGGAGCTATGACTATGACGGCTATCATTAAGTCAAACTTGTGCACAATGGCTAAACTATATGCTAGGTTGAGCAATGATGCTTATAAGGGTATGCTCATTCAAAAGCAGGTTAACTGTGTGTGCACCAAGCACCAGACATTGAGCTAGGTCGGGGGTAAAACACATGAATAAAATTTGCCTTACCCTCAAGGCATTTACTAAGGGGCCCTTAATTCCACCTAGCCAAGACAGGGAAGGGTTCCCTGGAGGAGGCAATGCTTGTACCAACCAGCAGGAGGCAGTGAAGAAGAGAAGAACCTGAAAGCTCCTCATTTGTCTCAATGCAGTGGGGAAACGCTATCTCCCTCAGCATCCTGTGAAGAACACTCTGCACTAATCTGTCTACAACCTGCAAGAGGCAAGACAGCCTTTCTCAACCAGGGCCTTCTGTCCTAAAATACAGAATGACTCAAGTGCTGATTTTCTCAGTTCTGCTGAGGATGGCCCTTTTAGATTCCCAAGAGAGAACCTGAGGGAGTGTACACAGTTGACACTTGAAGGTGTTAGGACTTCCTTAGGTCAGGGACAGTGACTGTTTCTCTTTCTTCAGTATCATATCTGCAGACCCTAACACAGTGGTTAGAACACAGCAGAGGTTCAATGTTTGCCAAGTGAACTGTTCTGAGAATTACCTATTTGTGAACATGCCAGTTGCAGAGTAGGTTCACCCCTGATTCTTCATGTTCATCTAGCAATTGTCCTAGTTCTCTTCCCATTCATTCACAAATTTCTAAGACTCTTCAGAAGAGACACCGCCATATCTCCACTCCCTTGGACCGAAATAGCTAAAGTACATAACTTACCCAGACATTTTTCTCTTTCTTCTCGTCTTTCTTTGGCCAATCTCTGCCTCTCATCTGATTTCAAAAATCCTTCCATGCCTACAAAGGAGAAAACTAGATGATGTTTCAGTTCTTCACTCTTTCCCTATCTGCTAAGTACTATAAGCAACTGGGCACAGCACCTGAGTCTGACTGCACGCACATATCATCCATCCCCATTATTTCAACCAAAGGAGGTCCAATCTGTCACTCTCCATGACACACACAGCCAAGGGGCAGCAGCTACCACTTTCGCATGCACCTGCCAAGCTGTCCTGTAGTTGGGCCAACATCAGCCCCAGAGGACAAAGCCCCTTTCCTAATCCTTTGCCCCTAGGCAGACAAGGGGTCAGAAAGTACAGTAAGTGACAGAGAGGCCTGGCAGTGTGCAGAGAAGCCCACTAGGCCTCGTCTAGTCAGGCTCCCAGGCCTGAAGCAGGACCACCTGGGAGAGAGGAGAAGCACAAAAATGGACAAAATTTTGAATACTGTTCATTACACAGACACTGAACATTTTACTATATATATATATATTTTTTTTTGAGACAAAGTCTCACTCTGTCGCCCAGGTTAGAATGCAGTGGAGCAACCTCAGCTCACTGCAGCCTCTGCCTCCCAGGTTCAAGCGATTCTTCTGCCTCAGCCTCTCGAGTAGCTGGGATTACAGGTGCGTGCAACCACGCATGGCTAATTTTTGTATTTTTAGTAGAGACAGGGTTTCATCATGTTGGCCAGGCTGGTCTCAAACTCCTGACCTCAGGTGATCCGCCCACCTTGGCCTCCCAAAGTGCTGGGATTACAGGCGTGAGCCACCGTGCCCGGCCTACTTTCTGAAAGCAGCCAACATATGAGCTCCTTGGGTGAGTACCATGAAAGACAACACTCAAGTTCAATTTTGGTTCTGCAAAGTTTGTGCCAATGTCAATCTTAGTATCTTAGAATCATCCAAATATCTACAACAAATAAGATGGAACAAATGACAACTTCCCCCAAAATGTCTGAGAAATATCCCGGAAGCTTTTCATCTCCAACCAACAACCCCTGCAGAACCCTAAAGGGCTTTCTAAAGATTAAATGGATCTTCATGGTCATTTTAAGATTAGAAATAACTGCACTCTGTTACAACTGGACCCAGTGTATTATCTATATAATATTTAAGCACACCATTCTGTATAAGTCAGTTTTCATGTTAATATAACCAGGTTCACTTCACCAGCATCTGTGTCTTCCTCTCTGGGAGCATCACAAGCTGGCATCATAGTGTGCCTTGCTGCCACAGCAACCTGTGCTTCTTCTAAGGAGGTTCCTGCTGCTGTTCAGGAGGGAGGCCTGAAGGCCTCGCCCACAGTGTAGGCAGTGGGAATGAGGAAGGGGGATGGCGTGACAAACACTGGATTGTCATGATTCCCCACTTACATCTGGTTTTGCAGCCTAGATTACATATCAGGGATATTAAAATGAGATAAGTACTAGAAAAATCCAAGTGCCATTCTCCCTTTTGGTTTTAGTCATCTCTTAATCATTATGACACTATCAACAATATAAATGTCATCAAAAATTTAAAGGCCAACTCCTCAGCTCATTCCAGCCACCCCCCAATCTGACCCCAAACTCTTTTCCCAACTTCACCTCAGCACTGCCCTTTCTCCCATGCACCTTCTAGCTCATGCCATCCCTTATTCTACCCTGCTCCACCTGTTTAAACCCTGCCCATCTTCAAGACCCCCACAGTCCCCCAGCCCTGTGATGCTCTGTGCTCCCACATGGTTTGAGGACTCTTATTCTGCTCTCTCTGTAACTCAGTCTCCCCTGGTGTGTTCCAGAGCCATGTGTGGCTGATGCAACTCTGGGTCTATACAGCTCCGGCCACTGTCCCCTTACATGGTGGCCCCAACACATGCACACAATGCTCAGAGGCAGGTGTGAAGTTGTGGAAAGGGAACAACATAGAAAGTCAGGTTTCTTTTTTCTCTAAACACAGTCAGGTTCTAGTGTCTACCTCAAGAGTCTGATTAATAAGAATTAGTTCTGTGTGAAAAGTTATAAAGAAAAGCCTAGACAGATGCTCTCATCGGCACCTACACAAACTCACCCACCCACGCAGGGCTTGAACCTAGCTCTGTACCACCCATGCTGCCCTCTAGGTGTTCATGGGCCTGCTCCATATCTAAAGTAAGCCTGAAAATGGCTGAAAGCGCTCTTCAAACAGACGGAAAAAAGAAAAACAGAGAAGAAAAAGGGCCAAACACACTTGAAACTGCCTACATTACCTTGAGGCTTTACAGAGGCTGCTTGTTCCACAGACATCCATGATTTTAGGCTGCCCTCTCATGGACACACATGAGAGTCACACCTTCAAATCACCTTTCCAGAAAATCTTTATTACCATGTTCACAGTCATCATCACCAGCATCATCATCATAAGAGGTAATAATTGAGCAGCTATCAAGGACAAAGTGCACTGCTCAGACTTTCTCAGCCCAACCACCCTATGACGACAGAGGCGCTGTAATGATCCTTGTCTTACAGGTGTAGAAACAGAGGCACTTGAAGCCAGATTCCAATGCAAGAAACTGACTTCAGGACCCACTTTAAAAAACATTAAATTTTTTTTTTCTAATCTCTCACATCTGGCTGAAAGGACCCACATTCTTAGTTACCGCTTTTCTGTGCTGCTTCCCTGGCACAGGAAGAAATGTAACACCTTGGTCTTAGTGCTGTAACCCAGTGATGCATGCAGAGAACAAATCCTAACCTGGCCCCAAGAATGAGCCTGCAAATCTAAAGAGAAGTCGAGTGTGACTCATTAGGGAAGTATGAAGTAAGCAGTACTGTGAGCCAAGTGCTGGCCCAGCTGGACACAGATGTGGCCACTGTCCAGGCAGGCTAATTAGCAGCTTCCTCCTCACACTAGTGGTTTGAAAATGTTTGCTCAGCAATGTTTTAGGGCTGATGCTGGGTGGGGAAGGGGTTACAGAGCACCTTGGGGGAAGCTGTAAGGTCTCTCCTTGCTCGTGCCACAATGCATGGCCATCTCTTTCTTTTTTAAATTCAGCTTTGTCCCACTGAAAGGGGTGGAGTGACTCAAACAGCCCAACATGGGCAATGTGGAATCTCTGTATTGTCCATTCGGTAGCCATGAGCTATACATGGCTATTTAAATTTCATATCAAAATTAAGTAGTTACAGTTCTTTAGTCACACTGGGCACACTTCAGGCACTTAATAGCCACATGTGGCTGGTGGTTACTACCCTGCAGAAGCCTGGCAGCTCCCTCCTGTGATTCTCTCTTTGCACATCTAGCTGCTCTGGGGCACATGTGGATAAGGAGGTCTAAGTTCAGTCGGAATTGAGATTTACTGGATGAGTAAGGTTTCTTCCACACAGCATTTGCTTCTTCTGCTTAATTGCTGAGCAAACATTTTGAGAATATCCATTCCAAGAGAAGCCAAATAACTCATCTCCAGCTTCCACCTTCCGACTCTATGTTTTTCCCAAAGGCTGTCGAAAAGCCCTTGAGCTCATTCCGAGGTAAGGAGGGCTGGAGCACAAACCACAGCCTCTAACAAATAAACCAGTTATTACCAAAACACAGCCAGATTTAAATCAGAGGAACTGAGGTAGATTACTGTGAACACTAACACCAGGAGACGCCCTCTAAAGGCACAGTGTATCCAAGAAGTAATGCTTGATATGGTTTGGCTCTGTGTCCCCACCCAAATCTCATCTTGAATTGTATTCCCATAATTCCCAGGTGTTGTGGGAGGGACCTGGTGGGAGATAATCTGAATCATGCGGGCAGTTTCCCCCATACTGTTCTCATGGTAGTGAATAAGTCTCATGAGATCTGATGGTTTTATTTCCGCTTTTGCATCTTCCTCATTTTCTCTTGCCGCCGCCATGTAAGAAATGCCTTTCGCCTCCCTCCATGATTCTAAGGCCTCCCCAGCCATTTGCAACTGTAAGTCCAATTAAACCTCCTTTTCTTCCTAGTCTTGGATATGTCTTTATCAGCAGCATGAAAACAGACTAATACAGCGCTGAATTCAGTTCCAAAAGGAAGTCTTTCTGTATGGCCTGAAACCCTAAAATGTCTAACTTTCCCACCCAATCATCCTTTGTCCATGTGCCCTATTTGTGTGCATTTATCATAATTTTTAAAAATATTTTTGAGACAGGGTATCACTCTGTTGGTTGCCCAAACTGGAGTACAGTGGCACGATCATGGCTCACTACAGCCTCCAACTCCTGGGCTTCAGTGATCCTCCCACCTCAGTCTCCCATGTAGCTGGAACCACAGGTATGTACCACCATGCCTGGCTAATTTTTTTATTTTTCAGTAGAGACAAGGTTTCCCTATGTTGCCCAGGCTGATGTTGGAACTCCTAGGCTAAAGCAATCCTCCTGCCTCAGCCTCTTAAAGTGCTGAGATTACAGGCATAAGCCACAGTCTATAGCCATCTCTTTCTTTTTTTAAACCAGGGACCCAATTTTACCTTTGACCTCCATAAGAACTGATGGAGAACAGATCCATGCCTGCATGCTTGCCAGGGGTTGAGAGGGTAGGGGTGGGAGGGAAGTGGATGTCTATAAAAGGTATCATGAAATGCACTCTATCTTGATTGTATCAGTGGTAACATCTTAGTTGTGATACTGTTCTATAGTTTTGTAAGATATTACCATTGGGGGAAACCAGATAAAGGGGACATGGGCTCTCTCCGTAATTTTTTTTTTTTTTTTTTTGAGACAGGGTTTCACTCTGTCACCCAGGCTGGAGTGTAATGGCACAATCAGCTCACTGCAGCCTCAAACTCCTGGGCCCAAGCGATCCTCTCACCTCAGCCTCCCATGTAGCTGGGACTACAGGCATGTGTCACCATGCTCGGCTTTTTCTTTTCCTTTTTTTTTTTTGAGACGAAGTCTCGCTCTGTCATCCAGGCTGGAGTGCAGTGGTGTGATCTCGACTCACTGCAACCTCTGCCTCCCAGGTTCAAGCAATTCTCCTGCCTCAGCCTCCTGAGGAGCTGGGATTACAGGCATGCGCCACCACTTCTGGTTAA